TGGCTCCATGTTCATCAATGTATTCATTACAAGATTTTTGCCTTTTTACCTTCAAAGCCTTTTATAACCTCGCTACCATCCTACCTGTCGGGCCTTCACCGTGCAAACACTTCACTTTCTTTGCATTTATAATCAGCTGCATCAGAGGGGTCAAAGCCTTCCAGGTGGTTAATAGCAAAACATGAAAAATTGTTTTCTTTTTGAATTTTTTACAATGCATTTAAGAGACCCCCATGAAAACAGTCAGGTCTAAACATCATTATCTTGCAGCCAAGCTCTACATTTTTGTAGATTCTTAAGAAGTTTCATGAAATCAATTTTTTGCCTAATAGCAAAACATGAAGCAAACGATACAAAAAAGTTAGCAAAATACTCAGCATTCAAAATGGGCATGCATGCAGGCAGTTAGTGTTCCAGAGTGATAAAGGTTAAACAATCATTTGAGGCTTAAATCCAGAAGGACCACTTAGCTGAACAGACTACGTAATGAGCTCACTGTAAAGAGGTTACTGCAGATTCATACTAATGCCCCCAAGTAAAAAGCTACTAAGTAAAAATTAAAGACTCTTCCGGGGAAGACATGCAGACACACTTAAATATGTGCGAGCATCAGGTGGATACAGATAATGTGTCACAGCAGCTCTCTTCAGCAGCAAAGAGGTTTCTATATTCAGTGTGTGGAAAAGAAGCACTTGATGTCCTTGAAGACTGGAACTGTTGCCTGGACCTTTTTTAATGCAAACCGTTACAAACATGGAAGGCTGGGCGCTAAATGATTTCAGCTCACAAAGGTGCCAGGGTCACATTTGGTAACATTAATTTTAATAAACCCTAGGCAGCTTACAACCTTGGAAGGTGCCAATAAATGCAGCCCAACTCGTAGATTCATTCATCACGAGCGGCATATCAAATGTTCTGTCCTAAGGCGTCAGTCTCTTTTGTCTCCTAATTACTTCAAGAGAACTACTAGTTTATTTTGGCAAAATGAAGGTTTGCAATATTTTGAATACACTTTCTGAGCATTTCAGAAAAAAAACCACAAAGAAATATTTGGGTACAAAGCAGGTGATAGCAAAGTTCCTTACATGTTGTTGTTATCTCAGTTTTTCTATAACACTAGTGTAAAAATAAGGTTCTCATGAAGGCTTTCTGTTTGCATTGTTCATAGCAGTGTGAGAAACCCAAGCGTGTTTGAAAACAGGATGCTTCTGCAGGCTCTGAGCTGACTGTCAACTCGTCTGTAGATCACCAAGAAATGCACATAAACAGCTAAATACAGCTGATGTGGGGTTACAGTAAAAACATATGCAGCAACTATAAGAGCAGCTACAGTCTTTCTTTCTGGAATATGGAGTCACATCATTTTTTTTTTTTGCTCCATGTGTTTTTATTGAAATTTTTATTAAATAACAATGCAATTTTTTTTTTGTAAACCATGAACATATCATTCAATGAAAAATCCCCACCTGCTGCATGAATAAAGTGACATATTTGAGAACTTAAAGATTAAATGTCAGTATTTAGCGAGAAAGAAAATACAAATAAAACAAAATTATCTTCTGAAATTGAGATCAGTAAATGATCCAGCTTCTTAATTTGATCCAAAAGCAATTTGCTAGATATCCAAAAAATTGTAGGCATAGTTTTTGCAGAGGCTGTTTTTTCCCCATTGTCAAACCTTTAAAAAAAATCAATAACTCGCATTTTAAAAGCTAGAGGATTCTATTATTCTTACTAAAATTACAATTTTGTGGCACAATGCCACTAAATCTGACTTTTAATGATTCATTTAAATGGATCCCTTTCATGTTGATAGCTCACTATTCAACTTGGATGGGAAAGTATGAATTTATTATAGCTTTATGCACAACATATATTGTTGAAATAGTAAATACAGGTTCCCAGCACTTATATATATCTGGTTAGGGTCCTATTTACCAGTTGGATCATATGTTTTCTGGTAGTTTTCAACAAGTTTTTGGTCTAGTTTTGACTTGATATTCAACTGTTTCCACAAGTTAGTAGTTACATATTTAAATCTAAAAACTTCAAGAGTGTTTGAATCTTATATGAAATGTGTCTATGACTTATGGCTAAGTAGGCCTTATTTTATTGATATTGCGGCGAGAAAGAAAACACGCCATTTTTCTTTTTTTTTTGTTTAATAATCCAAAATTCAGAGGGAGCTTGGTTATCTTGTATTTTAAAGTGTGATCCTAATAGAAAATACCATATAAAGTTTTTAAAATTTAAACAATTGATAAGTGGGACAATGTAAAGAAAGCGGTCAAATCTAGAAATATTAACAGAAGGTTGCACTGCAGACGCTTTTGAATTATTCAAACATCCATTAGTCTGAGATATCAACAACATACGACAAACGCTGAAGATTTAAATGATCAGATTTTTACAAACACCTTTTTATGTAAGGTTTATCTTGTGAGATACTCAGTAAAGTATAGAATATATAAATCTTCTATAAAGCTGTATGAAGCTGCTCCAATTTTTTTTTCTTTGTTAGAAGATTAAAATCCTTAAGAGACTTAATGGTGTTATCTTTTATCCGATGAAGTTGTGAAGAGAAATATGAAGCACAGAGAGATAGAAATTAATTTGGTCTGTTTTAACACAATTAATCTTTCTCATGTGAAAATGGGCTTTCTTTGAGCCAACTTTTACTTAGACAAAAACAAAACATTTTTAGATAGTTGTTTGACTCTCTGATTCTCTGATTAATAGTATGTGTTACTCTTTTTCAAAAGTTTTAATTATGTGTTGAACACAATGACTTACAAAGATGTACCCGTTCAACCTTTTTACATTTTATTTAAACTGTTTTTTAGGGACTTTGAGCAATACAATTGGAACAATAAAACAATAAAAGAACAATAAAATTGCAATAACAGAATCCACTGTGAGTAATTTAATTAGTAAGTGTAAGTGTAATTTAATATATACCCATGGGACAATGTTGCAAACATAAGCATGTACAGAAAGGTGCTGTTGTTCAAAGGAGACCAAAAGAAAACCTTAGGCCTTCATGCAAATTGCTACAAAGGAGGAGAAACTTACAGTGTACCCCAAGTGTGAAGCAAGGTGGTGGCAGCATCATGCTGTGGGAGCACTGTCTTTTATCTGTGTGAAGCTGATGGATAAAGTCAAATGCAGTCTTGGAAATACAAATGTGTTAGAAGCTACAAAAAGTCTAATGACAGAGTTGTAGGTTCACATTTTAGCAAAATAACTGAACAAGAACAGAGCTACAATATTTAGGTCAAAGCATATACTTTTGAAAAATCTAACCTCTGGGACAAGATATTCAACTTTATTTTCTCCATACAATTTTAAAAGATTTTTGGAAATACTTTTAGCTTCTAAATGTGCTAAACTGATCTAAAAGGATTTGCATCTTTCATGATGCATGAGTGTTTGTGTTCTGGTCATCCTTTTCGTTCCCTTTCAGACTGTTTCTAGGGTAATTTTTGATAATAAATAATTAGAAAGATCAGTTGTTTGTTTGTTGTAGGTTTTTTTTAACATATAGGTTTATTTTATTTTTTGTTTTGTTTCTTGCTTATTTGCTGTGTTCTGTACATTGGGGTATATAAACACATGTTTATTTCAGACATTTTCCCTTTCGGTTGTAGATCCTTTCAAATCTTAGTTCAGTTGTGTTCATACGATGATCTCTCTCCCAGTTTCCCTGCTTTCACCTGTCACAGTTGTTTCACATTTCCTCTGATTAGCTCATTTAGTTCCTTTCTCATTTTCCAACCCTGCTTCTGTATCAAAACTCCATCATTGACCCAGGTTGGATTATTTTTTACACTTTCCCTCTAGAATGTCCAGTGCCGTTCATTTCAAGGTTTTAAGTCTTGACTTGTTCTACATCAAAATCTTTCACTATATCTCAGACTCTTATCTGCCTGCATTAAGGTCCAACTGGAACATAAGAGCAGCATTAAATTCAAATCATGATCATTAAGGTACGTCACACTTTTTAGGTTTTAATTTTGAAGAAATTCAGAATATTGTGCCTCCTCTTCTTCCCTGTTGCAAATGATGTGCTACTCTGGTTTGGAAAATCACTGTCACATAAAATCCAGATGAAATGCTGTCTATAAAAATGTGTAGGGCTTCAATTGATTAACTACTTTTTCAAGGCACTGCCAATGAATCAAAGTTTAAAGATGGAGAAGTACTCAAGGGAGGGCTTCAAAATGGCCGACTGTGGACTCTAAAGGACTCTGAAAAGTAAAAGTTCTTATTGGCCCACTGAGGCCAATAAGAAACCCCAAATGCTCCTTGGTCGTTTTATTTGAGGATTCTAATAAATCAATGAGACAAAGAGAGCTGACAGAGTAATATGCTACCCATGATGTAGAATTTTCCTTTCCAATAATTGTGTTTAAATGTGACAGGACAGTGATTAACTTCTTCATCAGAATACGCAACATATCATCAACATAGCAATGGATCATTACTGAGATCTAAAGCAGGGAAGGCACCCCGCTTGGGGTCTCCATTGTTTAAACTCAGAATACGCCGCACAGGTTCAGATAGAAGTGCATATGTGGGAGGACAGTAATGGTCTGGCTTATTTTGCTCTCAAAGTGGAGCATATCTTTAGTATGAAGAGCGTTTCTCTGCTGTATGCAGTGCCTCATGCACCTTCCCCAGCCCTCCCTCCCTTCACCCCTCCTCAGCCCCTCACTCCTCTCCTTGCAATGCACCGCACATGGGTGACACAGGACTGAACCAGTGCAGGCTGCTCTGTGCTCCAGCTGCATCTGCTTCTGTGTCCACTGGGGAATGGTGTGTGCATGTGTGCTGTCATGTGTGCGCTACCCTGCCACAGGCACTGGGAAATATATGGGTGGGAGGGGGGGGAGGCACATGGACTGCAGGGGTCTGCACCTACCTGAGCCATTCACAGGCTCAGCATCACTCAGTTGATTCAGCACCTTGCTAATACCACACACATTAACTGCAGCACAGATCAGAGGAGGAGTGCAGTTATGAGAGGGGAAGGGAGAGGGAAAGAGGAAGAGGGAGAACGTCTGTGTTGAGCAAATGTGTACACGGTGCGTCTGTAGTGTGTGTTTGTGAGTGGAAGAGGAACAGAGGCAGAGAATGTGAGAGCAGGAGGGAGAGAAGCAGCGGACGTGTGTTGGTGGGAGCTGAGAGGAAGGATGGCTGCTCATGTTTGAACTGCCTCACATGCTCTCAAAAAAAGAAATCAGCAGAGCCATAGAAACACCCTGAGGGACGCATCTTGTTCATCATTTTTGGGGCGGCAGAAAAGACTGGGCAATGCCTGCTGAAGTGAAAGAGGTAAGTGTGTACTGGAATGGCTCTATTTGCTCTGCATCCTCCCTCTTTTTTAGCCCATCACTTTTTCTGCAGAGAACTGGCACTCCACAGCTTTGCTTTCTGCCTCTATTACGATGAATGAAAAAGGCATCACTTGCTTCACTCCCTTACCTCTCAGTGCTGCTTGGTGTGGTCTTCTTGTGCTTCTGTTGACATGATTCTAACATCTTTACCTCTTGTACCTGTGTGTGTGTGTTTGTGTTCAATTGCAAGAGGCAATGCATGCAACCTTAATACATGGTGGGGAGGGGGATAACTTTGATTGCATGGTCTCTGAGGGGGTTCATTCCGCACACACTCTGCCATGTTGTTGCAGGGAGACATTCAGTTTGACCATGCAGCATTTAACTGAGTGATGCGATAAGCGAGGAAAGGAAATGGAAACTTTCTCATTTGATTTTTCTCTGAGAAGTCGTTTCTATGCAGCTCGGTAATGTTAAGGTTAAGCATGACGTTATTGGTGTTTCTGCAGAACGCAAGTCTTTTAATGCACCTACAGTATAAGGTACCATTCCGACGCAGCTCCTATTTGCAGAGTGTCAATTCTCTACTCTCAAGGAATAAGCTCCACTGATTCAACAGATGCACAGATTTGCAAATGACTTGTTGTTGTAACAAAGTTGCAGTTATTATTTTCTATCATCACTTGACTGGTCATCTGTTTCATTTTTATCCCAGTTTAATATTTGTGTGACAGTCCAGCAGTTTCTCTTAAATAGGCCAGATCTCATTCAAGTGCAATTTTTTAAGGCCAATTTGCAAGTTGTCTTTTTCTTCAGAGAATAACTTTGAATTGCTTATGTCAGAAGTGGTTTGAATCAAGGTACATAATTCCTTCCCTTTAGTTGGCCTTGAAGCTTAAAGTTATTGTTTATTAGTATCTAACTCCTATCTCATCGTGTCTTCTGCTGTTTGGATTTTCACCTATAAGTCACATCAAACTCAAAGCCATCAAATTAACCTATTTGTGTCCCAGAGCACACTACTGATGGTCCAGCGAGTTATTTAAATAAGCTTTGACCCACCTACTAGCCCAGCTTCCGCTGAAGCTTAAATTAGGCATAGATAGAAGTACATAGAACTGTATTGTGCTTGCATCACAATTTGTGGCAGCATCATCCTGTGGAAATACTCTGCACAGTTAAAATGAAGTGAAAACTTCAGAGAGGTGGTATCCTCCTTCAATTCTTGTTGGAGAAATCGCTAAATCCTGCACAAAACATGTTTCTCCATGCAGGGGATTTGGTGCTCATCTAAAGCAGACTTGGAGCAACTTGACAGACTTGTTAAGTTGATGTTGCAATACAAAGATACAGAAGGCAAACAACCATGCACACACACACTTCTAGATATGAAAATGTTTGTAAAGCCAATGAACTCCCCAGTCATGTTTCTGGACTGAAGGAGAAGGCCATAGTGCTTGGAGAGAACCTGCATTCATGGGGAGAACAAACAAACTCCAAGCAGAAATCACCAACAACTTTCTTGCTGCAAGGCAACTGTGCCCTCAACATATCCACCATGAAGCCCCATTTATAGGTCACTCATTCCTAAATTTCCTTCTTCAGAGATTAGCACAATTGATTTACATGATAGAAAAGCTTTACACACCACCTTTGTGACAAAGATGCACAATAAAGATGCCAATGATTCCTGACATCACTGGGTGATGTGGTATTTTATTGTACTGTTGAAGCATCACAAGGCCAGATCTGCAGTTTCACAAAGCCAAGCCAAGCAGCACTTAACTTAGATCTGAGGCAAGTGCAAGTCATAGTTAATACTAGACAATAAGACCCCGCCTTTAGCTGGCCATGCTGCTCAGAGTCTTTGTGATGATGCTCTTTGTCTTTGGATCTCACATCTATTTGCCTGTTTCTGTGTAAGACACATCTGATTCAAAGTCTTCAGCTTGACATTTTTGGCTTCAAGAGTACTCTAAGTGAGTTATTACTCACACAATGGCCAAATGTCCCTGGGGTTTGAATCAGATAGAGTCAGCATCAAGAAAACCCCTGTG